TGGGGGTGGAGGGTTATATCTGGAAAACTCCCACGTGCAAACTCCCAAGGTTCTTTCCTGAAAGAACAAATAGTTTCACAAGTGGTAAAATGAACTTCACGTGGTTTCCAGCAACTCTGTCCTCAGCTGTAGCAGAGGATGAGCTCATCAGGTTATATTCCATGGGATTTAAGAGGGTATATTTCTTGTCATAAAGCATGTCAGAATATGGTATCTTTTCTGCCTCTACCACTGTATCGAAGTTGTTTATGTTGGCCAAACCACTACTACAAGGGGAAAAAAGACAAAAGCAAACTTATACACAGGACAACACCTTAGGAAATGCAGCTAAAATTCCAGAAACCTTACAAAAGTGGAACTAAATATGCCGTATTATTGGTTGGATCCTTAGACAAGGTCGTTCTCTGAATTCTTCTTCTTTCTGAAGGAATTGACACTAACAATCTCTTCTTCCTCAATAAATATCCAAGAACAGGTGTCAGATTAGCTAATGACAAGCAGTAATTGCCTTTTTTTTATTTTTATTTTTTTATTTTAGTGAAGGAATTCATTGTCTGCTGAATGATGACAATAAAAGTGAACTTCTTTCTGTAGTAAGTATGTCATGACGGGGAGTGTATTTAACAAGAATGTATCAACAGGTTGGTGAAGCTTGCAAGGAAATGCAAGCATCCAGAGCAAAAACAGGATGAAATTTGTGTTTCTGAATCTTGCTATTCATGCAGCATGGCATTAGGAGAACATGCCCTAGCTGGGAAGGAGAAATAGTGGATCTGCTGGGCACCCACAGTGGGGAGACTTGAGTCAATCACTATTTGCTGAATATTGAGCTGGACTTTCCAGCTCCAGGGCTGACACCCAGCTGCCCTCTGTGCAGGGGGAGGAAGGCAAACACTTCTGAAAATGCAGCTGCTTTGAGCACTTAAGTGGAAGTTCCTCTAACTTGGACAGCTGGACTATCATGTATACCACTATGTTTAAAATTAGTGTTTGGGAAAGAATTAAAAGGAAAAGAGAGATTAGTTCAGATAAATAAAATATAAAGCAAGCTGCTTCCCAGTCAGTTTAGACTCTCTGCAGGGAATTGCTCCACACTGAAGGATGTCTCCCAGCATCTTTCCACTCATCTTCCTTATGAGATAGTTTCCTCCCCCAGTGCAAGGATGTCTTTGTAGCACCTGCCATGTAGAATAGCCTCCTTCTGTGTATTGCTTAAATGGCCTTTTTGCCTTACGACTTAACATCTACTTTTATTCCTTGTGAAATGATATTATATGCTTTTTATTAAATGTGACAGGCAGTGTATTACCCACTGTCATCTTTTATTTACTCCCATAAAGCAGTATGGAAAACAGTTAGCATGTGACATTCAGGATACTGTAAAACTGCATTGTATTGCATTGAAAGAGGCACTGCCTTTTCCTTTGCTTACATCTTTTCCCAAGTATTTTTTATCCTGACTTTCCCTGTGGCCAGTATCTGGTTTCCACAAGTTCCCCCAGTGTATCTGATGAGGACAATGCTTGTCTGCTTGGAAAGGTCTTGTTATTTTAGTCTTACATCTTTGTTGCTACAAGAAGTACAGGAGCTGCTCACATCCCACCAAATTCTTTCCCAGGTGCTTGAACCTCCAGAGACCAAGCTGGGATTGACTGTGTTTCTGCATTTATCCAAACCAGTTAACTCTGCAAAATCCCACTGAAAATCCCCATAGAAAACTAGTGCTTTTGGTTCCTGTCCTGGCTACCCCACTGCAGGTTGTAATTTAGTGCACGTGGAAAGGGTAAGAGAGAATCAAGCTGTTCCAGAGCTCCTGAAGAGCCCACTGTCAAGTGAAGGCTCTGAGTGGCTTTGCATTTCATCCCATGTGAATAATAGAAACAGTATTTATGTGCATTCTTGCCAAACATACTTCCTTCTTTTGTGGAGAAGGCATGTCTTCATACTGTAATATTTTTGTATCTCCTGCATTGCTATACTAAGCATTGTCTTCCCATGCTTCTCTCCAGCCTTTCGTCTATATTGACTTTTTACTGTATTTACCATAATAAAAACAGCAAGTCACTGTGCTTTGATTTTTAAGCTTTTTAACATATACAGCTTTGTTTCTTCATTTACGTGTTCAACTTGGATACTGCAGAGCTGTGCCAGCCATTACATTTCGGCACTGATCTTGTTCAGCTGTGACTGACTTGCTGACAGAGCACCCCTCTCTGTGGAATTCAGAGTTTAATTTAAATGAAATGCTATGACAGAGCCTATCTTCTTGGGATACAAGAACACTGCTAACATACTTTCTCAGCTTGAGTAAAGTGCACAGATTTTTTGTTTGGGGGTATATATATGAGCACATTTAAAAGATACTTTACCTAGCAGTCTAATCTCAGCAGGTGGCAGCTCCAGAGTAAACCCTGTACTAGTACTGGCAGGGGAAAGAGAACCTTTCCCTCAGAGGCATGAGGCATATTGAACCACACAGTCAAATTCATGCTGATAGTGGGAAAATGGCAACAGGTTGCTGTCCAAGACAGAAAAGCAAAGTACTCTCAAGTATAGGCCTGGTTTTGCCATGGTTTACTGCAGTAACTTTTGTTCAGAATTGGGGAATGACTGTTTCATTTGAAAGTGCAAAATTTACTATCACCAAAATGGTTTTATTTTTATCCCTTTTCTTGGATATTTTGGACATAGTCTGGTGAATACCTTGTCCTCTTGGGTACACTGGGCGTTTTGAGAGTCCAAAGGTCCTCAGCATTTCAGTAGAAACTCATTAGTGCTCACTGGACATTTTGTTTCATTCAAGATTAGGGGAGGGAGGGGGGGAAACAGAGGTGTCTTTTTTTTTTCCTAGTGGGAAAAAATAGAATAAAAGAAGATAGAAAACAGACTTGAGTGTAGATATTCATGATGAAAATTGCAACAAAACTGATAGGTGGGTGGTCTTTGTTTTCATTGAATTGTCACATTTCCAATGCTTGGAATTTCCAGTTGTTTGTTCAAAACAGAACAAACCAAAACTGGGTAGTTTCGTACTTTGTGAGATATGAGTTAGGGCTGTATTTGCTTAGAAAGGGTGGCTCAGGGTATAAGAACATTTAATCTTGAATGAAAGCATGAATGTGACATCTTGTGAAAGATGTCACAATTAGATATTTGGAGATAGTTTTTACAGGAAGCCCAGACTTTTATCTTCTAAGTTTCAGGTTGTTTGTGAGCTAGAATTATTACCCTGTCAGAAGACCAACAATGAACTGTTGACACACAACCACACTTTGCTTACAGCTACATGCAGGGAGGTATTTACTGCCTGGAAACAGTGAACTGCAAGCTGAAAACTAGATGTACTTAGCATGAAGTTTGTCCTATTTCTCTGGGTTCCTGTTTTCCATAAGCATTATGAAACAAATCTATTTCTTTTGGATAGGGAGCTTAGAAACCTCAAGTCAAACGTAAGATTTTATTTTAAGAAAGAAAGCTTTGATTACAAGACAGATGGCTCTGGCTGTTTGCTTACTTTGGGTTTCTATTTCCAATGTTCGTAGAGTGGCTTGGTGGGAGAAATTTTCTTACCATTTGCTCTTCCTCAGTAGCCAAATTCAACAGAAAGCATCAGTTTTATATATCTATTGCATGTAGTGGAACTGAAGGATGACCTGACATTCAGTGGAGTCCTGGGGGCGATTCTCAGTATAAGATTAGGACACCGGAGTTCAGGTGTTTACATGAAAGCAGGTGCCCAAGTTCTCACATTAAGTATGAATTTGGTCAATGCAGTGGGGTGACTGACTCAGGACTTGTACAGGGATAGCTCCCACAGGCTGCCGACAAGGGGCTCAGTTTGCCCACAGGACAGCACAGCTTCCATGGAGGCTGCTGGATGTGCTGCCAGGCCTCCCTCATTTAAGGACTGTGTCTTCAATGGTGTAAGAAATCTTTCTGCTGGTAACCGAACTGAGCCCTAGATCCCTGCACACCACATGGGGAACACAGATAGCTGTCTTACAGGTAGAGGTTTGTATCTGAGTTTCTTAACTAGGAATTGAACCTGGCCATGATCTGCGTGTTGTCTTGAAACCGCCTAATTCTCAAAATTTTACCACACTAAAGTTATCAATGCACAAAAAATAGTTATTTGTAGTTCTTTGATGCTGGGAGCCAAATTCCAGTATCAGTAATAGCTGGACAATGCAAGTGCATGGTTGGAACTGAGAAGGCATTTTGACTTTTAGAGACCTGGGTCTTGCCACAGTTCCTGTAATCTTCAGAGCCAGAGATTTACTGAGAGAGAGCTGAGGCTTTACCTCAGTAAACCAGGAACAATCGAGTATTTGCTTAAGTAGAAGTTGTGGAATTTTAATTAAGTAAAGACTTGGCTATTTGTCTTGAAGATAGGAAGATGGTTGGTGGGACAGTTTCTGACTTCCTCAGTTACATCAGTCGTAAGCACGGAATAGCTTGCATGACCCATTGACAACAAATTATTCACACCATGTAAATAAAATCAAAATGTTACCTGTGAGGAAATACAGAAGCACAATAAACAAACTTAGACTCACTCACTTTCCTGTAGCCTTTTATTGCTGCTTTTGTTGAGAGGGCATCTTTTCCCAGAGCACCAAATCTGGGAAGAAGAGCTCTTTACCTTGTCACTTCACTCGATCTCAGATTGTTCTCAAGCTTGCAACTTTCACTGAAGTTAAAATTCTGTTTTAAAACCAAAATGATGAGAATGAAATTATATAATCTATATAAATGTAAAAGTAATGATATATTTATCATGAAATAAAGAGTATATATAGCGGAATACTGGTTTTCTTGTTGTTTTTAGGGGGCTGAATTAGTAGAAAATACTGTATTTCCTGTTTAATAACCACTCCTAGACCAAACTTCTTATAGACTTTAAATGCAAGTAATTTGTTCTGTGTTATAAACTGTTGTGTTTTTTGCCTTCCTGTAACTGGAACAACATACTAATTTCTACAAGTTGTGACTACTAACAGAGAGCAATCACCTCACAGACTTGTACCGAAAAGAAGAGACCATCAGCGTGGCAGGGAACGGCTGCATCCACAGTCCTCGCTTCCCCAGCAGTTACCCCAGGAACCTCCTTCTGACATGGCGGCTCCACTCCCCTGAGAGCACCAGGATCCAGCTGGCTTTTGATAATCAGTTTGGTCTGGAGGAGCCTGAAAATGATATCTGCAGGTGAGTGGCAAGTGGAAGTTTGCAAAGGGCTTCTTAACACCATGTTCAAGCTTAAGGGTGTGGCCACTGGCATGAGACTGCAAAAGAAAACCTGGGTATTTCTGCCTGGGTCTGGAATGGCCCTGCTTGGAGGACAGACCTGCAAGGGCCACTTCCAACCCAAACTTGTCTTTGAGTTTATAAATAAACTCAGCTGTACTGGACTTGAAGCCATTTTGGCAGGTTTTGGTCTTTCTATAATATTTTAAGCACAAGGCACTTGTACACTTAAACAACTACTTAACAACAGCTACTTAACAACTCAGGTACTACTTCAACAGGATTTTGTCCTCTATCACCTCTGTCATTTTTTATCCAGGCAAAAAACATCTTTTTCAGTAGGTGGAAGGCTCTGGGAGGTGTGAGCAAGTAAGTATGTGTTTATATTGGGGTGTGAGGGACAGATAAAAATACACTCAAAAACATATCTGTGTTCTTCAATTACCTGTCTTTATTGTTAAACTTCACTGGTATAATTTCTTTTAAAACCATTAAATATAGGTCCACAAACAGTGTACTCAGCATACTGATATATCTAAGTATATTCTGCTATATCCCAGTTGCTTTGTTTTCCCCTTTTAAGCAGAAGTGACTGCAAACTCAGTTGATCTGGATCATTAACCCAGGTGGATAAATTGTTTTGCATTAGCAGAGCACACATATGAACCTTGCCAACATTCACTGGTACAGTATAAAACCATGGAGTTTTCTGTTTATATTTCTTTTGTTCAGCTATCTGTTCTGCAGGAGAGGCTCAGGCTTCCTTTGCACTCTGAAAGGCAGATTGCTGCAATGCTACTTATATAAAAGGCTCAAGTCTCAGCTTCCAGCTCTCTGCCTGATCATGTTGCTACTTACGCCTTATCTATGCAGAGAACTGAGCTGTTAGGATTTCTGCACACCCAGCCTCTGCTTATCTTATCTTCTTTGTCAATTAGCTTGCATTTGTAAGATTTGGCATCTCTGCAAGGTTTTACAGGGTGAGTTTTTCTTTTCTTGTTTTACTTCGTTAATTTCCTATGTTACCGGCAGAGAAAACCATTTCTGCAGGTTTGCTTTCCATTTAGTAATAAAAGAATGCAGCCTGAAACTGGCTGTCCTTCCCTCTGCCTTGATGGTCTTGGCAGCAGCTGCTCTGCTGTGGTACTGTTGGTCCAAGATCAGCAGCAGAATCACTGATGACAGTTACCTCCTAGCACCATGAATGCTTTCCCAGATCAAGACCCTAATGCATACAGAAGCGGCCTGTTAATATTTACATAGTGGGTAAACTGTGGCTGACCTTAAAGCATTGCAACTTTGAAACGGAGGGCTAATTTACTGTGGAAAAAAAGATTAAGTCTTCTCTGTCAAGAGCCATAGAAGGTGGTGGCATGGTGAGGGGAAGTCAAGCTGTTACTGTCATTATGGGTTTGCGGACTATCTTTTTCCAGAGCAGCAAATTTAGGATGCAGAGAGAAGCAAAGACCTTCCATAGTGCCTGTAGAAGCTGGAGAAATATCACATTCTTTTCTGCAATAAAGCTTTCCCTGGCATTCATTGCATAGTATTATTTCCAGAGTGAGGAATTTCTTGGGCAGACAGCTCGTGATGGCTTTAAGCCTGTTAAGTACTCTGTGCATAGTAAGATATTTCACTAATGCTCAGTATGTTTCTCAAAACTAGATCCTTTCTGCAGCTTCAGTCCCTGACAATCCCTGCAGTGCTGCTTTAGAGAGACAGCCAGGCATGTTTAATTGAAATGAATGCTGAGAGCTGAGCATGTGCTTGAATTCTGTGTGCAGTGGACAAGTAATTCAGGACCTCTGCACCTTACCTTCCTCTTATACTTGCTTTTGACCTTACGCTTTTTTCTTCCAGAAACTTCTTAGTGTTTTCTTTCATTTTTTTCATTCATGCTAATTATTTTAATTTGCATACTATTAAGACTGAACTGTTTGAAATTCATTCAGACTGAGGAATAAAAAGTTATACATTAGCAGAGCTGTTTCAGAAGGAGGAGAAATACTCAAGGTTTTACAGAATTTTCTAGAAGTGCTATTAGCATTTCCAAAGGCACTTGGTAACAGATGATTCTGAAAAGCAATTAAATCACCCAGCCTCTGAGGGTCCTTGGATGCACAGAAACAACCAAGTTTGCACCTACTTCTATGGTCATTGCAGCAAAGCTGCTGCTGTTGAAAGCAGAAATAATCCCTGGAAGCCCCATTTTTCCTAGCAGTTAGTCTGTCTTATGGCCTCAAAGAGTGGGGAGGACAATTTTCTCCAAAGCCTGCAAGGTTATCTTATTCTGAAACCTCTGCAACCCCTTGTGTTAAAGTCAGCATTCACTGACTATCGTGCTGCTCCGGGGGCAATGGTGGATGCTTGTGCAGGCAGTGCAAGAGCTCTGCCCCAGTATCATATCCATACCATGAGGGAGTGGGAGCGGAGGACGCTGGAGAGAGCTTGAGACAAGTTTGCCTCTGTCTGGAACTAAACTTTGTTGTGTTACAAAAAATGTCCGTTTCAGCAGACTTCGGGCACATTTAAATGGTTTGGTTAAGGCAAATCTGTTATTTTCTGTTCTGTGCAATTTGGGGTTGGTGAATGTAAGAGCAGCAGTGCTGATATTCTCAAGCCACATAGTCCTTGTGTTTTTCACATGGGGTCTCAGCAGAAAAAGAAAAGCAGGTCTGTTATTTACAGAGCTCTTCAGCTCCCACAGCTGGGCAGGGAGGCAGGCGCCTGGCCTGCAGACCCAGGGGTGGGGAGCAGCACATTGCTAGTAAGAACTGGTTGACAGTCTTAAACTCCCTCTTTGGAAGGAACACGTGTTTTGGTAATAAAAACCTTTCCTGGTAAAGACCTTAACTATACTGTGAGGATGGCAGCTCTCTGCCTCTCTCACTGCCCCAACTCAACCGGCACCTCTTGTCATCACCTCTCCCTCGCCGGCTGCAATGTGTGTGGCCTAATTCTGGCACCACAGATATTGAGGGACTGCGTTTCTTGTAGGCTGAGGGAGATCAAAACTTTATTCTCTGCCTTCCTTATTCTCCAGCTCCACAAATGAACTTGATAAATGACCCAGGCAAGCAAATATGCACACTGGGCAGTGAGTGTAGTCAATGTGTCCCCTCATCCCTGGGATTTAGTGTCTGCTGCTCTTGGCAGAGCCCTCTTTGGGCTCAAGGCACCAAGACTGTGTCATGGATGCCCAGCCAAGGTGTGACCTTTCACAGGGCAAGACGTGCTGTTGCTTTTACCCTGGTGACAGCAACCATGCAAACAGCAGAGGAGTCCCCACCATGGCACACAGTGTGCCAGCCTGCCCTTTTCCATTGTCTTTCCAAACCATCTAGCAGGAGGACCATGCCACCTACAAAGAAACTCCTAAAAAACACCTTGCAGCGGCAGGCAGTGCCCTGTGTCCTTCCAGCATCTCTCTTTGCTCCTGGGCACAGTGGCAGCCCAGCTCCAGCCCTCTGACATGATATCAGAAACTGCACAAGTGCTTGCAGCTGCTCAGCTTGGGCAGCCTGCCTTAAATAATATTTTATCAGGTCTCTATATTATTTATCCACCACATGAAATGCAATGCATACATTTACTGTGCACTAAGCACATGCAAGTGCCTCTCATTGCTACTTCAACGTGGCAGAAAATACTGTCTGTCATGTTCCAGGAGCCCAGAACCCAAAAATCATCCATTTGAACACGTCCACCATTTGTAGTATTTGTTCTGATGCTTTGCTGTTTTGCAGTTGTCTTTGTGTCTCTAGCTGTGCTCCTGTCTAATTGCAACCATCTTCTGTAACCAGAGTTACCAAAAGCTAATTCTTCAAACTGGTTCCCAGGTATGACTTTGTGGAAGTGGAAGATGTATCAGAGACCAGCACAGTTATACGAGGACGGTGGTGTGGACACAAGGAAGTACCTCCAAGAATAACATCAAGAACAAATCAGATAAAGATAACCTTCAAATCTGATGACTACTTTGTGGCTAAACCTGGATTCAAGATTTGCTACTCCCTTGTGGTAAGTCACCTAGCTGTGTCATGGGTGAGAGATATTAGTGTAAAAGAGCGTCAGTACTTGGAGACTGGATGGTATAGCTAACTATATTGGATCAAAACACTATTTGACTGAAAGTATTTTCAATCCAGCAAGCACATTAGTGCAGATCAAATTTTTTTTATATCCTGTCATTAAATATAAAATAAAGTGAAGTCCAGGCCAAGATTTACACTAATAGCATGTTTCAGAAGCACCAACACTTTTCTACAGTGAGGTTGCACTGCCAGTGCTTTAAGAGGTGCTGCAGAAATAGCAAAGAAATGGCTGCTCTATGAACTCCTTTTTTGTGTTCTTTTGAGGGCAAATAAAAATACCTTGAGGGGTTATGGCTGTGATTCTGAGTTAGATGCAGAGTAGTTTATTCTATATGCAATGAAATTCTACATGCAAAACACAGTGCTAAGGCTCAGGCTGTATTTTTAACCACATATAAACATTCCTCTTTTTATATGCAGTGGCATTAGCAGTGTATCATGTACTGTGTCAGTGAGATTAAAACCTCCTTTGTTTTTATTTTGGTTTTGTCTTCAGGAAGCAGGAA